TTCTGTTTCTCACAACCAACAGGGTTGACGATTTCGACACTGCCTTCTTCTCTAGAATCCACGTTCGTCTCGAGTTCAACAAGCCTGGCGCCCCACAGAGGACTCTGATTTGGTCTTACCTTGCCGAGAAAGATGGCCATGATATCTCTCAAGAAGATTTTGTAAAGCTTGGAAACCTCCCGATGGATGGACGACGCATCAAGAACGTGCTACGAGTTGCATCGCTTTTATGTCGCTCGCGGGACGCGGCTGGGAAGACAACTATAGACGATGTGAAAACTTCGCTCAGAATTTCTGCCGGAGATCCGAATGATGAGGGAGTCGAGGACGCAATCCAGGATTTTTGCGGGCGATGAGTGCATTGGGTTTGTGTGGACAAAAAGCATTCCTTTCCTCTTTATGTATGTCTTTCCCCATGGTGGATACTGAATCCTGTATGTTTCTGGATTGGATCATCAAGAACGTGGACACTTTTCGTAAATCCACTTGATTAGAGCCGTTTCATTAGGCCCAAAATAGAGACCTTCGATTGAATAACCGCCGACAATCGATCATGAGGCACAGGAGCACAGCTGGTCCTGCGCAAGTTCGCCAAGTCTTGGCATAAGACAATGGAACCATACTGCTGCCTGGCATCAGGACTTGTTTTCTGAGCTGAGCTAAGCCGCAGCACGATGAAGACCATGAGAATTACTTACGTCCCCAAAATCCAAGACCAAACCCTATTTTATGTGTCCCTTACATAGTAGCCAAGAACCTCAGCCCTGTGGCTCGTTAGGCGAGCGGGAGCGCCCGAGTGACGACCCAGTTTCAACTGCCTAAATCACATCTTCAGCACTCGCCAGGCCTACCTGTTCCTCTAAGAGATGAAAGATGCTGAAGATAGAGGCACGAGTGAGAAAGGAGGAACAGTATGGATGTTAGGCAGTTGAGAGCTTTGGAAAGACTTTTTGCGTATAAAATGAGGGCGGTATGCCGCGTATGATACGGTTCTCTCTCTCATCCTCATCACAAACACCATCGTTTCCTTAATCATCAACACTTCCTACTTATCTCATCCAGTTTCTCATCTGCTTCCCAAACCCTCTTGCACACCCCTTCATCACTATGAAAACCTCCGCTGCTACCGTTGCCATCGCGCTTGCGACGGCGGCCGTCCCCGCTATCGCCTATCCTGCGACTCTGCAAACTCGCGACGGCGAGACTTGGAAGAGTGACAAGGGCGGTAACGTCAAGGTTGAGGTCGGCAACGAGTTGATTCTCTATGGGACCGCCTTGCCCTCGGCTACTCTCAACGCTATTCTCGAGCAGTGTGGGGAGTTGAGTTGCAAGCCAGGAGAGCCTGTCAAGGCTAAGACTATGCACATCGGCGCTGGTAATATGGGTCAAGAGACGGAGATGGTTCTCACTGTTGAGGGGAGCTTCGCTAGCGCCGGAGAGCCTGGCGACAAAGCTCATCTTGTCGAAATGGCGAAAACAGTAACGAGAAAGATGTTTGACGAGGGAAAGCACAAACTGGAGCAGGACGTTCCTTACTACACCAAGCCCTGCCAGCAGACTAAGAACGGCTGTATCCGTAAGTTCATCCCCACTCGGACTACAATCTTCTCTACCCCTGCCATGGTAATCGAGAGCCGTGACTGACCAATTTACGGGAGGAATAGACAAGGACAAATTCTACGCTGAGCAATGGCAGGCCACGGATCATGTCAATGTTCGGTATGAGGACGAGAAGACGGGCTTCAAATCCTTCCTCAATGTCGGTTTCTCTCACCCCGAGACGGACAGCCTTGACGGCGACATCTGTGCCGGTATCGCTGGTATTGGTGGCGCCATGGCCGGTGCTGTTTCCGCAATTCATCCGGTAGCAGGTGTCGGTTTCTCACTTGCGTCTTTTGGCTGCGCTTTTATTTGAGACATGCTCGAACGATACTGGGCGTAGCTACGACGAAGATGTACATATTGATGCAAAGATTTCGGGGCTTAGGCGTAACAGGGTTTTGGGAAGCAATTCAGAAGCTGACTACATGTAAACCTGATCCCTGTCTTTTCGTTCGCATCAAACCCACGTGAAATTAGAAGACGAGCACTCGAGATCATGGAGAAGACTTCGCTGAAACCTCGTTTCTTGCTTCGAAGAACGCTCCTTCAAGTTCACCACCTGGCATTCATTGCCAAAACCGCTATAACTCACACAGTAATCTCATAGTGCTTCCTCAGACCTACTAGATCTGAATCCCAAAGACAATAGTATGGTGCGTAACACAACACGTGTCTTCAGCTACTGCTGATCGTCTTTTAACGTGCTTAACCCCGAACTCCGTACCTGCAGCACACGAGTCAACGGCATCATTCCCTCCGTGTTCGTATCCAGTCGGAGCCTAGACGCACGCCGTTGCGTCGTGCCCCGGTGGAAGCAACCTGGCCCCGGCAGATGGAGGTGGGGCTTGAAAAGCCGAAAAGCCGATCATCGCTCTCCATCCAGCGGATTCAAAGTCCGATGCATAAACCTTTGCGGACTTGTTGCGGAGCTATTGCGGAGTTGTACCTGAGGTTGTATCAAAGCTGCAGCTAAGTTCGGACACGGGCATTTGGCTATCGTCCGGCACGGCAGTCGTCGACGGCTCGGGCCATTGCATGGCGGGAGTTCGTCTAGCAGGGGTTGGGGAGATCGATAGATCTTGCTTGTGATGAGATTCTTTAAGTCTAAGGGAGAACTGCTCGCTTTCCTGGCTCTGCGTTCGTCCTGTCATTCAATCTTCTGACGAACTCATACACGAGTCTGTCAACCGCCACAATGCCAGCTTTGAAAGATGCGGTCACGTCAAATTTGACCCTTGGGTCGGCCATCTTATTCCTCGTCACTGCTGTAAGTCTGATATCATACAGCTAGTTTCCTAAAACTAACTCCGATTTCAACAGGGCGTGCTCTACAGAGTCGGCATCGTCATCTATAGGCTCTTCTTCCACCCCCTCGCCAGCTTCCCCGGCCCCAAACTCTACGCCGCATCCCACCTACCCTTCCTCACGCAGAACATGCTCTTGGGCACCTTCACAAAAGACACCGTCAAACTCCACGAAAAGTACGGCCCCATCGTCCGCATCTCCCCCAACCGTCTCGCCGTCGACGGCTCCCTCGCCTGGTCCGAGGTCTTCTCCAGACGGCCTCATCAACCCGAGTACGAAAAGACGATCGAGGCCTACGGCCTGCCCGGCCGCATCGGCATCTTCCCAGCCTACCGCGATGACCACCGCCGCCAGCGCCGCCTCATGGCGCACGCCTTCTCCGAGGGCGCCCTGACCGAGCAGGAGGGCTTCATCAAGCACTACGTCGACCTGCTCATCGCCCGCCTCGGCGAGCAGGCGCGCGGGGGCAACGTCCTCGACATGACGCGCTGGTTCAACTACTTCACCTTCGACGTCATCGGCGAACTCGCCTTCGGCGACCCCTTCTACTCCCTCGAGAAGAGCAACTACCACCCCTGGGTCGCGATGCTGTTCCAGACCATCAAGGCCGGCGCCAAGCTCAACTTCCTCTCGCAGTACCCCGTCCTGCGCCCGCTGCTCTTCTTCATGATCGACAAGAAGGACATCGAGAAGAAGATCGAGTCGGACAACCTGGCCCGCGAGAAGACGGACAAGAGGCTCGCCCTCGGCTCCGACACGCGCAAGGACTTCATGACGTACATCCTCCGCAACAACAAGGACGGGAAGGGGATGAACCATGAGGAGATCCACGTCAACGCGCGCGGCCTCATCGTTGCCGGTAGCGAGACCACGGCCACCGCGCTCTGCGGGCTCACCTTCCATCTGACGCGCACGCCTGAGGTGTACCGTCTGCTGACGGATGAGATCCGCAGCGCGTTTACCAGCGAGGAGGAGATCGACATGAAGTCCACCGCACGTCTGCAGTACCTACATGCCTGCCTCGAGGAGACTCTGCGAATCTACCCCCCAGCAGCTGAGACGCCTCCCCGTATTTCGCCCGGCGACTACATCGACGGCCGCTTCGTGCCCAAGGGCGTAAGTTCCCGCTGGACTATCCCCCAGAAACGATGAAAGACACCTCGCTAATCCTCCCCTCACAGACATACATCTCCGTCTACCAATGGGCAACCCACCACTCCCCCCGCAACTTCACCGACCCGGACGCCTTCAAGCCGCAGCGCTTCCTGCCCGAGGCGCACCCCCTCCACGAGGCCCGCTACGCCAGCGACAACAAGGCCTCCTTCCGTCCCTTCGCGGCCGGCCCGCGCGACTGCATCGGCAAGAACCTCGCCTACGCGGAGATGCGCCTCGTCGTGGCGCGCTTCCTCTGGAACTTCGACGTCGCGCTCGAGCCCGGCCAGGACGACTGGGTTGCGGGCCAGCGGACGTTTAACGTGTATGACAAGGGGCCGCTTTTGGTGAGGTTGAGGCCGAGGGAGCATAAATTGGTTGAGGCTTGAGAACGTGTAGAGGTTAGATGAATCGTTGGAGGAAGTGAGAGATGATGTTGTAAGTCAGCACATATACTGGAACAAGCACGAAGACGTGTGTTGTTGAACGGGTTTTCAGCAGATGGAGATTTGGTTCTGCTGCTCGTCTGATGAGTCTGGCGCAAAGCTTGAGTCATTTCATAAATGACACGCCACAGCTATTTGCTTAGCTGTAACCAAGGACAAACCAGACATTGTGCAAAGTCTTGATTCGGAGTAGAGATAAGAATAAACAACTCCCCAAATCAATCCGTTCTTTAGGAACCAAGATAAATATCATACAGCCATCTCACGCAAACTCTTCCACCGAAAAGCAAAACCCTAGATTCTGCTCCTCAAGTTCTAAAATATCAGCCCAAGATAACATAAACACAACCCAATCTCTGGAGGGCAAACCTCTGTGGCAACCCCATCACCCTCACAAGCAACATCCCGCAAGCTAAACTCCACAACCCATAGCGGGCCCGCCTCCCACGCCCATCGAGTCATATGCAACTTCCCCTGCTCGCTCCCTCATCAACATCCGATATGGTGTAGTGGCCAACATGATGCCCTCTCATTTCTGATGCGAGGTTAGGCATAGCCCCGAGTTCGATTCTCGGTTTCGGAACATTTTTGCATTTTTGCCATTTTGTGCTCGCGCTTTTTGCATCATGTCACGCTGCATCGACACAGGAAAGCCGCCATTCATTCAGTTCTTGCTTATTTGACCCCCGCTACCCCTTATGGTTTGGAAATCTCGACACGAGAGAACCTAATGTTTTCGAGGGCGGTGGAGCGAAGTCGCGTCTCGCACCAACACCAGATCACATGAGAACACCCACCAACGAAAGCAAACCTCACACACCAAACCAGAAAGAATCCCGTGACCGAAACACCATGCGTCCCTCCCCCTCCCACCCTCTCAAAAATGCCAAAACCCACCGCAAGCGCTGACGCCGTTCACCCAAACACGGCCCAACGATAGGTTTCCCGAGAATAGACGGCGCGCGGGCGGCGGGCGCGGGCTGCGCCGCCGCCGCCGTCACTGAATCCTTCCCGCGGAGGGGCGGAGGGGGTCGTGATGACAGGCTGACAGGACTAACTAGCTTCACCACCAATGAACAACAATAGGATTGTCGACGGCGGCCGCGCGCATGGGTCTACTAAGCGCCAGGAACGTCCAGGGACCGGACGACCATGTTTTGCATCATTGACGAGGCATCTCGACATATCGAGCATCTACTTTGTCTGTTTGTGCAGCTCGTGGGTCCGGACGAGGTGGCGCATTGCCCTTGAAATGACGAGAGTCAGAACAGGACGCGTTAGACACGTTCTATCCGCTGTGACGACCGGTGGTAATTCATCATCCAGGGACTCAAATGCCAATCACCAAACCTAGCATCGCGTGCAGCGCCTCGCAAAGAAACCCTGCGATATTGTCAATATTCTGCGCGGTCTCCGGAGACCGGCTCGCCTCGACAGTCGCCGTGCTCCGAATGCGACTGTGAAAAGGCAGGTTTGCGACGATGATCCAACAAGCTTCGAGCAGTGTGGCCGAATAGGAAACCAGAAGTACAGCACCGCCCTCTCATTCGTCGTGACAAAGCTGCAACCTAGGTTAACCCCCTCCTCTGCGATTCGCGAACGACAGGGGACGGCAGTCGTCGAGGAGCAAGCAACTCTACGCGACTCCATGCTCGGCCGTTCCCTGGAAAGTGGAAATATCTCTTCCACGGGTGATTGAAGTCGTCCCTGAAGACGACGATCTCAAAATAAAGACGCATGCCGCGTCTCGCGAACTGTACGTCTCATTATCGTTAGGTTCCCCACCCAAAAAGGCAAGAACGCGGGAATGAAGGACGAGGATCAAGTCACACGGCTTGTGGGAGCGACGGGGGGCGCGCACGCGCGCGACCGATGCGAGAAAATAGCTCTGGCGGGACATGTCCATGCCTCCTCCTCAGTGCGGGACAGGCTCTGTGGCGTGCGCCTCTGCGGGAGCTTGTGAAGGCAACGGCTGGGACGGGCGTTCGCTGGGCTACAAAATTGGCATTTGAGGCCCAGAGGTGCATCGACTTGTCTGCCCTGCATGCGTGTCTTTTCGTCTGATGACTCTGGCGATCCAAACGCGTCCTGCCGGGAGCCTCACACTGGCTGGGCGTCCAGCTTCATGTGCCGTAGATCGCTCTTCCCTTCCCGTGTTGTCAGATCAGGCAGACTTGGCAGGCGCGCTGGCTGACGGGATTCTGGCCGACGAAGGATTGGGCATTCGGGCAGATATCCAAAAGTAAACACAACAAACCTCCATGCGGAAAATGCTGCTCTGGATAATCAAAACGACAGGTGATATTTCTGCTCGCATTAACCGCCGCCCGGGTGATTTGATGATGAGGGCGACATGAGAAGTGAGCCGCGTCAAAGCCCGTGTTCCAGAGTATCGACCGCTGTGACGTCTGTCTGGTACCCGGAAGGGCCTGGAACAGCACTGGAGATGAGGGATGACATGGGTGGTGTTGGAGCAACACGCGGAGTGTAAAGAAGTCGACACTCAAGGAGGCTCGGCATCTCGTAAAGGCTGACTGAATGGCCATCAGCCCGTCTCATCACACCAGGCGTTGTTGATTTGGCGATCCGCAGCAACAATAACTTCCAATGGTCAGATGCCGGGCAATCTCCCTCTTTGCCTCGTCCTCAGACGGGCCCAGTGCATGCGTCCGTGTGGCTCCCCTCAGAGAGGCGTGACGCCCTCCCACCCACTCGAATCAGGGAAAAAGCAGGCAGCTGACCACTAGGCAGCGGCAGAAATGCCGCGTCGCCAACCACTCAGATAATTCGTACGAGGCGAATTCTCATCCAATCGTTTGTGTGTCGCGTCCACCGCCGCATATTCGTGTCAGGGTGTGAGGTGAGCCAGGCAGAGGCTTCTTCTGTGGCTATCAGCAACCCGAGAGATATGGACGCTCGTGACTGCAACTCTCAAGACTCAAACCGGGTTCTTCTCGGTCTTCGTGCTCACCTGACTTCTTCAGAGTCAAGTGCAAGCACGGCAAGAGACCTGCAGTGAGCAGATGTCTCCCCACGCGCTGCGCTGCGCGGGTGCGACGACCGACGAACCCGGCAAACCCCACCACGATTGTCAGCTCGTGAGACAGCCCAAGCCTCTGATACACCAACTGCATGTACGGCGGTACTTTCCTGCAGTCATATTTCTGTAAGTAGCTATCTCCGAGCGGCCGGATGCAGGTTTTGCGACTCCGAGACCTCGGAGGGACACGGTCGAACGGCTGCAGTATGAACAAAACCACGGCGGACGCGCCCGTCTTGTCTGCTGGGTCCCTTTGCCATCATCCATCCCGTCACACCGACTCTCTGGGAGACAGAGTCAGTGTCCAGCTTGCTTGGGGCTCTTGGTCTGCCTTGCTTTGCTGGATAGAATACCTCGTTTGGCGTGTAATGCCGTGGACTGTCGAGGAGTCATCCATAGTGGTCTGTGCAGAGCGCGATCCAGCGTCATTGTGCTTGGTGCCTTGGGTACGGTACCAAGGAACAAATGCCCTACAGAAACCGAAAGAGTACGTATTACTGGCGATGCCAATGTACGAGGAGATGAGCAGCCCAACCGAGCCAACCTGCTCCCTCGAGAGTGTCACTCCCATGTTCCCCTTCCCCGCCTGGCTGGCGGCGGGAAGACTGAAGAGTTCTCATGCCAAAGGCACATGTACATGTACCTGGATTTCAGGCCAGGGTAATGCTGCCTCAGAAGTCGAAAGAATTTCGTCAGAGAATTAATGCGGTGTGTGTCACGTGGGGCCGAGTGGCTGAGAGTGGGCCTTCAATGGAAGAAGAAAAGCGTGGTGCGGCGCGGACGGAGCTGGGCCAGAAAAAGCCCGGAGATTCAAGACTGTGACTCTTGCAGGGGAGGCCCAGCCGCACAGGCGGGAGCCGGGGGAACTTTGCCAGTGGCAGTCCAGAGATCGACAGTGCGTGCCCTGAGCGATTGGGACATTGGGGAGTGAATTGTGAGAAGCGAGCCAACAGAGCCAAATATTGGTGTTGGATAGGCTTGATTCCCCAGTCGAAGCATCGGGCTCGCTTTGCCCTCTCACAGGAGCTGGCCTGTTGGCGGCCGTTGGGTCCATGGTTTTCAGAGGCCGATTATATCCAGAGTGCGTTCTTCTGCGTCCCTTGCGGGCAGAGGGACAAACAAATGTCCATTGGAACAGCTCGTCGTATTCCCATCCCCAGCCTCTCGTGAACTTGACTTTTGCCCCTCACCGTTCCAGAGCCAACAGCCGAGGGAGGCTAGCACGACCGGCCGGCGAAAAGAGGAGTGGTCACCGCCTCTTCTTTTTTCCCATGGCTTCTCCGCACTGTCCGTGTGTCCCACTTCCGTCACGGCGATAGATGGCAAAAACGAGGCAGAGTCGAAAGCAGTCGGTAGCTTGGAGTGAGTCGGTCGCTAAAATTAGCCCTTGCTGAAATGCCAGCTCACGAATCTGTCGATCGACCTCATTCCTCGGGCAGTTGGAAGTCGGATCAGGTTCTCGCTTGTGTGCCGAAGCTGACCGACTTATTTGTGGCGTCACCCACTCGCATACAGCAGACAGGCCATGAAACCAGATGCTAGGCGTTGAGAAACAGGAGGGACGGAAAAAGTCTGAGGCAGCCTGAGGGCTAGGTGCTGTGCTGTAAAGGATAAACACGAGCTCAGGCAGCTCAGGGGAGCTCTTCGATCCAGCTTGCTTGCGCATGTGTTGGAGCTTGGGTCAGGCCAGGTCGGGTCAGCGTAGGTACTCCGTACATACGGTACCTAGCCTCCGCGCCTCCGGTGGTGATGGTCCGGGTAGCCATCAGGCAGTGGCAGGGTGGTCGGTCCGGGTAGGCATTGAGCAGCAGTGTGATGAGTCTCTTCTCGTCTCATGTTTTCGCGTCTTCACTGTTGGTGCGTGCAGCCTTGCTTTAAGAGAGGGAAATGCTGAAGTAACGTGGCAGATGGAGACCTTGCCCCATGCGGAAAAGTCGAGACCTGGGCGCAGAATTTGAGAGGTTGACAGGACGGACGGTCTAGAAACCGCTCGGGGAAAATAAGCTGTCAAAAGGTGGGAAATATTCAGGATGAACGGCGGAGCCAATTACCAAAGAATTTCCAAGTGCTGGACACTCAGATAGAGTAGCCAGGCAGATGAAGTTGATGTGCAAGTTCGTTATGAATGATGGATAGCGGTTGTTGGGCGCGCATCCGCATCTTAGGGACGAAAGTGAAGGAGCGCTGGAGGTGACTGGACAATTGGCAGGCAACCTCTCCACCCAAGGCGAGGAAGTCACAGTTGCATGCCATGCGCGCGCACGCCCGGAGGGGTGGGTACATCGTACAAAAAGTAGAGATCACGTCATGACAGCAAATCAGAAGCGGCGAACGCGTCGCCAGCCACAGGACCGGGCCCACTTGGACCCGCTGATTCAGCCAGTCAGAGAGGTTAAAGGGTTAATGGCCCCGCCCCTCAAATCAACGCTCAGAATTCTCCCCTCGTCCTTCACCTCCTCACTCCCACAACCAATCAATCTCTTCCGGCCCACCAAACGTGTCGGACGCGAGGGCAGAAAAAAAAGAGAGAGCAGAGACAAGCT